CTTCATACTAAATAGAGTTTATAGACAGTGCCCCGAGCACGAAGCTGTTGCAGGATTTTTCCCAAGGATTCAGTACCCCCACGTACAGTGCCCGAGTGCACAAAGTGGTTTCAGGGGGAGGTCGGTATCCACTTCCGCATATAAAGGCTGACACTGACCCCCGCGCATAGTGCAGAATTGCACGCAGTGGTAGCCGGGAGAGATCAGCATTTCACGTCCACAAGGCATGGATTTGCGTGTTTGAGTGAATTGCATAATCTACGGTAAATATCAAAGTAGTCAAGGACTACACGATCAATGGTTTCATATCCATATACAGACAATTCACCACTCATCGATGAATTGCAAAACGTTGCATTCAGATTGTGGTATAACCTTCATCCGGATTGATGCTGCTCTCAAAGTCTATTCGTTCAAGGCACTCCTCAATCGGCTTACCATCCCAATGATGGAGCTGGCAGTAGCTTTGTTGCTTTCTAAACTCATGCTGTACGTCAGGACTACACTCAACGTAAAGATAAAGGCAACACACTTATGGACAGGTTCTCGGGAACTCTCACATGGATCAAGCCTTGTGCATCACACTGGAAAGACTTGTGAGATACAGGTCAACTCGATTCAGAATATTATTCCAAACCCTCACTGGAATTACTTAATTAAATATTCTTTTTTTTATTTATTTATTTTTTTTTTTTCAGAGATGTATCAAATTTTATTAAAGAATAATATATATGACAGACAACGGACCAAAGAAACAATATTATATCTAAGTCAAGTTTACAAACTAACATGTAACATCAGCTTTGGTCAGTGATGGTATAAAAATAGTAAAAATCATGATGGATTTTTGAACACATATGTTGATTATCTGTCGCTGTTTTTCGCTGGATCCCTGTTCAGTACCTTAATGATGCTCCGTCTCTGAGGTACATCCCCTTCGTCTGTTACTGGAGATAAACGACACTGCCTTGTGTGTCTTCTGGACGTCTCTTGCAGCGATCTTTTATCCGGTGCACGACTGTCTCTCGAACGTTGTCGTTTGCTAGAGTCTCCTCTTCCTCTGCGGGGTGAATCTTCTCGACGTCTTTGTGGCTGATACTCGGCTACTATCACACACACGACTGTTACCTTCAGGGTCAGTCCAAGTCCCAAAGCCACTGGGTCATCCACCTCCGCTGCCTCCTTCGTCACCACCTCCACCTCCTCTAGGCTCTCCTCGACGATTGAGAGACGGTTGTGCACCCGATCAAAGATGGATGCAAGAGATGCCGAGGTGTGACGATTGCTGAAAGAAGAGAATTCGCGAGGAAGCGATAGTTGTGTGACAACTGTTTGGGGCACCACATGAGCAGGAGCAAACACAATTGCATAAAGTGTCACAAACGGCATAATACAACTACTGCATGATGAACAGATGTCGACTCCGACCGAAACAAGTCACAGCTCAGCATCGCCTTCCAAATGAGCAGAAGGTGTAATCATAATTCCACCAAGACCATCATCATCAATAACCTTGTTGGCCACTGTTTTGGCTAAAATTAGTTCATCATCGACAACATTACAAGCTCTTTTTCTAATAGATACAGGCTCTGAGATCATGTTCGTAACAGAGGATCTCGCGTAGAAGCTGAACACATCTCGGCAACATTCGGATATCCTCATCCATGGAATTGAAGGATCTTTAATAGGAGAATCTGCCAATAGCGCAACTGTCCATTTTTGGATGGCTAGTAATTGGGAATAGCACTCCCCACAACAACACGGGATACACAGAATACTTTTTGAGAACTATTGATAAGAATTTAGGTACAAGAAGAAGTGCCAAAGGACAATGATCATCTATACTATCAACAATTCATGACGGAATATGAGGGACTTAAGCACGCGAAGACAGCTTCACGAGTGTCATAAGTAACCACTACCATAAGCAACCGGCTCAGTTACACTCTCTTAGTGAAGACTCCCTTAGCGAGTAGAGTTTATACACAGTGCTCCGAGTACGAAGCTGTGCAGTACCCCGTGCACTTTCTCAAGGACGAGACAATAATTAGGTGGCCATAATGTGGCACTACACGATGAAGTATCCAGAGATTTTCATGATCTCACACTTCTCCGTGTAAACATCTACCATCAAGCGCACCGCGTCAAGAGGATTCGGAGATTTACGATCTCCTCCTACCTCGACACTTAATGCATGCTAATACCACGTGGCAACCACCCAGGAACGGCAATATCTCAACGATTCTCATCATCAATCATCAATGAGATCAAAGATTGAATTGAAAAGCGATATCCTCTCCACTCGCCCACACTTTTCTCTCACCAGTTAACTGGTAGACTTTATCTAATTATAAACACTGATGCTAACAATAGTAATAATAATGATGTTGATGGTGATAATATTATAATAACGATAATATTCATAATCATAAGTTAGAACATAAATCACTATTATTTAAAAAATTTCGTTAAACAATCACACTGCAACTTTAATTTATTAATTCCATTTAGTAGGCTATTATTTTCATAGTTAATTAATACAAATAATATATAATGCGAATGAAAAACCCTATCAGTTACCAAATATGTCTATACGAGTAGAAGTAATCTATGTCAATAATTTGAGATATTGTTATTCGTAATTACTTTACACATAATGAAGTTAACTAAATAGCGATAGCTGCAGATATGCTCAAAGTTTAAAAATTATTTAATGAATTTATCAATTACAAGAAGTAAATTTTTTCTAAGAATTTTCTAGGCAAAATAAAAATTAGACACTCAATATTGAAAAAGGTATTTAAAGAAAAAAATTCATTGTTGAATAATTCAGGAATATTTTTGTAAAAATTTACGAGAAACAGACATGTAATATTCATACATTTACATTAGACATTCAACATAATAATAAACATAATAATGCATCTTCACATGCGCAGAATATATATAGTGTATATATATAGTTAATATATAATTTCATTAATTTTGAAGTAATTCTCAATATATAACGCGATACATTCTTTTTCCCCAGATTAATCCAATCCACTTGTCTAATATAATTTCGAAATTCCCACGTAATTTTATTTTGAAGTGCAAAATCAGCTCTTCTTTTAGCACTGCCTTTTCTTTTATATTGCAGGTAAATCTATGTCGCTTATTAATTAAATTTCACATTTCTACAATATTATAATATACTATAATATAATATAATATAATATAATACGTCAAAATAATTATATATTTATTATATTTATAAATTTTGCAATTTTATGAAGATAAATCGTAAAAATTTATTCCATATATAATTAACAATATATATGTTTTACAATTTACAACCCCTCTACATGGTAAATTTACGTAAACCTTAAAATATACTGATAAATTGAGAAACAGATGCAATTACATCAATGTCCTATCTCCTTTTAATCAATACTATATCACTATAACAACCAGAAGATTCTTTACACAAATCTCTGCCATGTTCTTCCATAATTCATCATCAAAACTCTTTATTTTGCCTTTTGCATTCTCAACTAATTAATATGACTCCCGATAGAGGTGCATTGGTGCATTGGTACATTCAAATTCTTTATTAATCGATAGTTTTGAAATTGAACGATTTATTCAAGTTGATATTCGGAACGTAGCCGGCCATTTCAATCGCTCGAAAGTACGTGCTCGAGGCTTAATTAAATTAAAAATCTCGTATCTCCAATCACTGCTGGGATTTTACAATTTTATAGAAAATTCCCCGCCAAATAGGCTTAGGCTTACCGCTCATTAGCAATGATATTAGTAAGACGACCAGGGCCGGTCGTTTAGCCCAGAAGATTTTGCTGCGTCATCAATTGAATCTGCGCGCCCCGTTAATCAGCTTCCGGGCAGTGAGTCTCTGCTCCCGATATCTCTATTTTTTTCGTCCTCGTGTCGTCATCAGTCCTCAGTCGCTCTAGCGGCAGTACGCTAATGGGCTTGCAGGAGGGACTCCCCCCGGGACACTCCTTACCTGCTCTTTCCTCAGATCGGCCACGGGAGAAAGCGTATTCTCATTGGGGATAACTCGCATCCATTCCTTCTCCTCGATCCACTCACCCACATCCCCGATCACCGTTTTTTTTTTCTTCTCTTTCTTACGAAGCTCCGACAAACCTTTGCGTGCCACGACACACGTAGCTTAATCGCCCCTGCCGTTCTCAAAGTGCATTACCTACTTTTCAAATTCATATAATTTTGTGATTCTTGTTATTTGTGCTGGACGAGGGGGAGGGGGGGGGAGGAGGGTTATATTCGAAAAATTCTCTTAATAGGAGGCCAATCTATGATAAAGTAGTCAAGACTTTTTTTAATTTTTTCAAATGTCAAACTTATTTTTCGTATACAAACTTATTACTCGTCAATTTTCTACCATATTGGAAAATTTGAAAAGTACGACTTCATACCAATACCATTTAATACTGATACTGATAATATAATACGGATTAATATTGCACAGCGCGTATGTGCGTGGGTGGACACCAATGCAATTCCTTCTCTCGACACATAGACATTCGTTTACAAAATTTCAATTTCATAACGAATATCGCAAAGCATTTACAAATAATTTTATATTACCGACATGAGCTAATGTTTTTCTTCGACATGAAAGTTGTAAAATGACAAATACGTCGATATTCCTCATGCAAACATTGTTACTTGCATTCATTATGAATACCTCGCATACACTCGGCAAACTTTCATGTTATCCATTAGCGTATGGGTATATGCCGCTTTAAGAATGCATATTCGGTTGGAGCTATGCTCGAACTTAATTTACTTACGATAATATTCTCCATTAAATAGCTTTTGGAACACGTTCTCGGGTAATTTAAAAAGCTCAAGGATGTAATACGAGCCGTATTAAAGTATCGATAGTAATGTACCGTAAGTGCTTAGCTATTTTGATTGCAATGCCAAGAAGTTGGTAGTGATTACTCGAGAATGATAAAAGCGCTTCTACGTACCATTGCGCGATGTCCTGGAGCGCACTTCCGGGCTACCAGCGCAGCTATATCGGGAGGTTACGGCTTCGGAACGCGAAAGTGCTGGCTCGTGGCCTATCCGTATCCATGGACACCACGAGAAGAATTGGGCGAAACCTCGTCGGAATCTGCAATGCATAATATTTCGACCAATTACCGACACTTGCAGTTGATGTATCTATATATCTATCTATCTATCTATCTATCTATCTATCTATCTATATATATATATATATATACTGTGGAAGCTGATGTATTCATGCTTGATACATTCGATCGATTTTTTATTGTATTATCGTACGTGAAATGGCAAAGCAAGAGTGATCGAAGTAATAGAAAAATATAAAAACTTTGAGCATTTGTTATAGGTTGTGAGTGTAATTATGCTCTACTTCGAAATTGTTTCTTTCACAATGTTTTTAAAAATATCTACTCCGTTTTTATGTATTTTCTAATAAAATAAATAGAAATGTTTACCTAATCGATAGACGCGACAAGGAAATAATATTAAGAATAAAAAACAAAATAAAAAATAAATAAATAAAAATATTGAAAAATAAGGAAGTAACTTATTTGGAGTATATTTTTTTGCAAATAAATAGAATTCCGAGTCACTTATGAGCTTTTGATTTTGAAATATCAAACTGATATACAATTGTAATTCTAATTGGAATACAATATTCAAATTAGCAGTAATTCATTATTTTTAAACAATGGAACTTTTGAACTTAAAAATTTTATAAAGCAATGTAAAAATTATGAGAATTAAAGTGTGCAAGAACAGAGGTTGCTATTTTAATATAAAAGAAGATTTTTAAATATCATTGATGGAAATTAAAATGAAGGATGTTGAATGAGATTCAAGTGCAATTGGATCTGTAAAATTTAATCAACTGAATTAGTAAATAATAAGATGCAATGCTATTATTGTTTTGTTCGTAGCGTAATGGACTTATAATAATAAAAACACTGTGCCATTAGTTAGCTAAATATTCGGAATGTGAAGCCATAAATTATTAATTTTAATATTCAAAATATATATAAAGTTTTTCCTTTTTTCTGCATTAAGATAAGATAATCAACGATAAAAATAAATAAGCTTAAAAGTGCATAAGAGTGGTGCTTGGAGAGATAAATAAAAAGAAAATGAGAAACCATTTTTACGAATATTAAAATAATTGGATCAGAGCTTTTGTCTTTCTTAAATTTGCTTGCACTTATCTGATAATAAAAAATAATTGTGTCTCATAAATAGCAATAGCATTGAATTGGCAATAACATTAAGATTATGAATAATCGTAAAATTAGAAAATGTTCAGAAATTAAACATTCACTAGTAAAGTGCATCAAGAGATGAAGTAATGCTTTGATGATGAAGGATTATTTTATTCTTAACTATAATCTTAAATTTAACTTTGAAAGCTAATAAAAAAATAATTTAAATTTTTTAATACAATATATTAGTAGAATTTACAATTATAATTAAAAGCTGTAAAATAATTGTATTAAAAAAAAGAAATATAAGGCGATAAAAAAAAATCTAATTCTTCATTGGACGCGAGTCCTTATAAACAATCAGAAATATTATACAAATCGAGGTTCAGCCTCATGAACTGCAATGGCTTATTTCAATTGTACTTACGCGATTGTAACAACGTAAATATATACTCGCGGATGTAGTCAAATTATAATACGCCCGGTATATTTGTTTGTTGCCGATAATTCTGTCTGTGTGTGTGTGTGTGTGTGTGTGTGTAGAGAGAGGGAGAGAGAGAGAGAGAGAGATAGAGAGAGAGAGAGAGAGAGTTGAATGGTCATTATTAAAATAGGATTACACGGCCATACAAGTTCATACGAATGCACATACCTGGAATTCATCCAACAATAAATGATCGGATTGTACATGCTGTTGGACATGGCGAGCCAATAAATTGCGAGATATAGCTCCTGGATGTACGGCTCGTTTGTCAGATCGGGCAAGTACGATGTCACGATGAAGTACACGTGAAAGGGTAACCAACACACGGCGAATATCATCACTACGACCATCATCATTTTCACGACCTGAAACATTGAATATATTTAGGGATCATTCATTGTGTGGCACAGCGTTGAAACAATTTGATGGGCCCTACTATGGAGATCATTCGACGATCTACGAGCTGCTCCCAGTGTCGGGATATTCTATTTTTATGCATTTAATACTTCAAAGGACTATTAAAATATCGATGATAAATTAAAACTTCGAGCACATTATTACGAAAGCTGTTCAATAGGAAATTTCATATAACATATGCGAATGTTGTATTAACTGGTCTTCCTTAGTACTCATCATTTCTAATATGTAGACTCAAATGTTTTTAAAAAAAATGATTTTCATTTACATAATATTAAATAATGCGAAGATCATAGAAAAGAACTGCATTTTCATTATTCTACGAATTACGTATGATTAATGGGACGTTATACACTGTTTTTATTAAATTAAAATTTAACGAATGAGATTATTTAAGATTAACATGTAAAATGTTTCAATTATCAATAGTTACTAAAGTACAAACTTGTTTTTCAAACAGCAATTAATTAATAATATAAATTTGTTTCTATATCATCTACCTAGTTATCTTAAATAGATCTATCTAGTGTTGGTACATGTACTTAGAGTATCATAATATAAAAAAGATTTTACAATAATCACATCGATATTGTTTCCCTGATAATGAAATTAATATGATAATTGACACAAACCAATCATGTAAATCATGTTTTATGCAGATAATATAATAACACTTAAGATATAATTATAATATTAACGATATATATTCAAATACGAAATTATGATAATTATGAAGATAATAACGTCAGCTTTATTGTCTCTCGAAAGCTCTAATCAGCCAATCTTTTATGCATGGAAAATACATGAGAACTGTAATTTCTAATAACTCAATCTGTTATATAGAGTTTACATAGGATTTACATTTCCATGGATCAATGCCTAAACGAATATACCGAGAATATCGTGTTATTAAATATTTCAAGACAATATAAGTCGATCGATCGATGGATAATTTCATACGAGTATACGGAAATTTTGAAATTATTATTAAACGAAATACATTTTATCAAGACAATCGTCACTGATCAAATAATGCAAACATAAATTAACATAAATTTTGTTATATTTATTATTTCCTTTTTTAGTGAAATATTTTACAAAGTTACTAGAATTTCCTAGTTTACATATACTGCAGATACTTTAGCCTACTTGACATAGATATTTCTATCTCTGTCAATTGAAATTCAATTATTAAAACTCGACTTTTTTTCAATATGATTTAAGGCATTACAAGACCTTTAATGCGTATGAAATTCAATGAAAATAAAATGTTTTTTAAATGATAAGTGGTATTACATTACTTTTTTTTTATTACTAACATTTACTATAGAACTTCTATAATCCTGTAGGTCGGTTTTGTTATATTCAGAATTAATTAATTTTTTACTTATCACTTATACTTTTGGAAAAGAAAAGAGAATAGCATACATATGTGTCTATACTTGTAATTTTGTGTTTAAACAATCGTTTTGCAGCTTAGCGAATGTTTAATTTATATATTAAATATTAATATATCAATCATCTCAGTACACAGAACGCTATAAATCATTATTTTTCCAACTATGGAAATGTGAGATTATCTTAAATGTAAAAATTAATGTTTATAATTAATTAATGAATAATGCAAAATTAAAAACATTTTTTGATAACATATATCGCAGAAATAAATTTTACAATCTATAAATTTTATTTCAAAATTTCTTTTGATTATAAATTCATTTAGTAATAAATATTTTTAGTAATTTATATAATTATGACTTATTGATGATATTTGATCTATCAAAATATTAGAGAATTTATCCTTAGATCTATTCTAAATTTATATAGATGAAAGATATAATTAATATATTAACTAACAACAAATAATACAACTAACAACATATATATATATATATATATATATATAAATTAATGCGAAATATATAAAGATAAGTTAATTGTTATTAAATTAAAGCAATTATATTATTTAAGATATGAACAAAATAGATTCAAACATATTATTAAAGTTTTGTTGTGTAAAAATTGAAAAATTGCAATTCATCTTATATAGGTGTACTAATATAATATTCAATTTTATAAATCGTAAACAAATTAATTTTAATTACCATTACAAAATGCAACACTTTAATGCATTGATATTACAGTAATGAACTATTAAGTAGATCTAATATTCCAAGCATGAAATTTCAACATTAAACAAAATTTACAGGCTATGTTTATTACTGTAATGCTTTAAAATATTTCGTCGAACCATAATCTATAAAATTTTCGTTAAAGTTAATGGTACATTAAAATGACCATCTTTCTAGCTATAAAAATTTTTTCTGCGTTAATAATTATGAACTGTGGTGAAATAAATCAATGAAATAAACTATTTAAGAAATAATACATGTCACTATTGGCCAGAAAATAGAAAAACTTTTCCTAAGCTTACAAAATTTCTTTTCAAAGGCTTAATGTATGAAAATTATATAATATTACGTAATCAAATTGCCATTTTAGGTAGTTTAGTGGGTAATTTAATGCCGATGAGCTTTAATGGAATTTCCGACAGAATATAAGTAAATAATCATGTGTTAAGATGGTTAGACTTTTACAAAGAAATCAATGGAAATAATATACTACTTTTCCTATTCAATCTTTTGAATATTAATTGAATTATTACAATGGACTTTACGTACTATTGCCTGTAATTAATAATGTAATTCTTAGACTAATACATGTATGGAATAAAAATTCAAATAAACGCTGTGAATGTACTTTCAGCGAAATCAGGAAAAGTCTTACAATGACTCTCGGTGAATAATATTCGAGTTTGCAATGCAATTGAATAAATAATAACATACGCGCGTAGTGTGCACTTTGAATTTCATTTGTTCACTATAATGGTTTCTTCTGTCTTATCGTTCGTTTGAAAGTCGCCGTATAGATTCTTTTCTCTATGGACCACCGAGAATAGATTACATTGCAACCTTTCGGGAGGGGGGGGCGTAATGAGATGTGCTCTATTTCAGAATATTACTTACTCAAGTCACTGGAAGCTTATTAATAATCAATAAATATAATGTATATACTGTTGAATCAATGCATTGTCAAATAATATCCTTAATAATATCGGGAGTCTATTCATTTTCCTCCTCTTTCATTAAGTATAATACATTTTAATATCAATTTGCGTGATAAGCGTAGATAAATAAATGGTGTTATTCATATTGTTTTTTTATCTCTTTATAAAGTATTTACATTTCTTTTTAATCTCATTTATCCTTTAGTCATATTATTTTTCCACTATTGTTCATCATAGTTATTAATGAATTTATTCCAAGGCAGCTATAGACATAAATTTAATAAGGCACTATCTGAATAAGATTATGATTTTATCGAATTGAATCTATAGTTTATAGGATTAAATAAAATACATTAATTTCAATATTCAGAATTTATGTTCAATTTAAATTTAATGTTTTAAAAAGAAATTTCAAAGCAATGGAAACATCAAACTTAATCTATTTTGCTCATCGAATCAGTATACATATTTGTCAAATTTATATTTTTACCTGTAAATCACTATAATTGCCTAACATAGTAGCTAATCTATCAAATAAGTCTAATTGGTATACTGTTTTGTTTGTATTATACACAATAATTATATATAAATTGTCGTTAGTTGCGTACAAATTTTTACTTAACTAATTTAACAATATTCAAAGATTATTAATCGAAGAGAAATTCTTTACTATATAGTCTCTGTAGAAAGTATACTTTCTTTCATGATGGAACCATTTTTTCAATAAAAATATTTTCGTATAATTATAAACTAAAATTATTATTTATATTTTCATACTGATTGCAATTATTTATTTTATTTTATTTTATCGTAACAGTAATATTTAGAGATACTACATGACCAATGAATTGTTAATAAACTTTTAAAAGTAATGATGACTGTAAGTGGTAATGAATTATGTCAACGACAACGTAGATTAGCCACAATATATAAGAATATTTTAAAATTTTATTTCTCAAAGGAAATGTTTTAAATTACGATCTTAGTTATAAATTTGAAGATCAGTACCTGTATATACGAAAAAATAAAAAAATGTTCTTATTACTATTTACATATGAATTTTCGTTGGTAAGTATATTTCGAAAAAGTATAAAAATAGGAAAAATACATTATGTTATATTCGAACATAGTTACTTATTTAAATTTTTTTTTTTTTTTATATAATGTAAGAATAAATTTTCCTTTTTATAAATAAATGTTAGTATATAGGAATGGTAATTTAGACTTAGAAAATGAATTTAAATCTGGTAAAAGTAAATATGTAATTTCATAATTCTACATACTTTTCTGCGCCCATTACATATACATATATCTATTATACGTACTCGTATTTGTTATAAATAATTTGTATTATTATAAATACAAATTTAAAAAGAAAATGAAAAAAATAGGGAATGTGTATATGAAAATAATTTTTATTCGTAATATTTTCTTTTAATGTCAACAAATAATTTACGGTTTCTTCACATATACCATTTTAGACGTGTAATTTCTGTTTTATAGAAATAATTTTAAATTAATGTTTAAAACAAGTTAATAGTTAAGTAAATATATTGTTTAATTTTGAGAGCTACCTACTTTGCCGACCTCCATACCAGTTTATAATTAGCTTACCGAATATAATTGCAGTGTACAGATTATTGAAGATGAAGCGTTCCTGAGAGACTTCGTACTCAAATTATTAATCGACATTATCGAAGTTAGATGAAGAAAATTCATGTAGGAAGTGTTTCAGAATTTTCAAAGTTTATCATGTTTATTTTATTAATTTATCATTATTGAGTTTTTCATTTGATTGACTGTTACTTAGAAGTATCTTGAAATCTTGAAATGAAATGTATTGTGATGAAAATTTTGTTATAAACTGGGTAATTAAAATAT